ATTTCTGTAATGAAATTTACGTGCATATGTAATATAAATTTTATTATTATCGATTACAAATATAACCTAGTTTTTCGTAATGTAATTAAAATATTGTTAAGTCCGATCCAAATTCATATAAAGTGGAAAGTTCCGTACATTAGTGAAGAAACAATCTTTAGATCATATATATCGAATATTCGAACTCAAGATTTTAGTTATATATTTTCACAAAAGTTTGAGTGAATATCAATAATATATATTTTTTTATTTTAGGCTCATGGGCCAAAATTAGAATTCATGAACATATGCTACACGTCTTTTATTCATCCAAATTTCACTTTTCCGACCAGTGAAATTAGAAATGGTGGATACATGGAACGGACTACAGTAAAAAGTGAATCTATAGGGAGTCTGTTTTTTTCCTATTGACGTACTTATGGAACCCTGATATAGTGTAAAACAACGTACGATTTATATAAAATAATTATATCTATACATATAATAAAATTGTAACTAAGCCGAATCTGTACATTAAATATTTTTTGAAAAATCTTATTGAATTAGACATTATTATCGATACAGAGGTCAAATCTATAATTTTTAGAATATTTGTCTGTCTGTCTGTTACCGCATCATAGACAAACCACTGGAGGGATTTTGATGAAATTTGGTATGATGATAGCTGGTTATTCGGGTCAACATATAGGATACTTTTTACCTCCCGAAAATATATCATTTCTGAGAAAAAATACATAAACTGCATTGTAAGAGTATATATACTAATATGTAAAACCTAACAATTTGCTTTTTGATCATCTGAACGCGGGCGGAGCCGCGGGCAATGCTAGTTCTAGAATAAGATTTAATATACAATCCGACGTATTTAAATCAAGTATTTACTATAAAAAGTATTATTAATTAATATAACATTTTTAAACTGTTATGTTTCTTAATCATTTTTCTTTACAACCATTACGATGGGCAGTCACTTCGTAATAACGTTATTAATGACCCCGAACATTAACATTGATACTCTTTTGTGTTCCTCCAAATAATGAAAGTCATTTTCATTATTTTACAAACAAAGGCTTTTTATTGTTAGACAATTCAAAAATCACGGCGATGTTAGAAAAGATAGTTACATAAACAATCACAATTTGATACTTTTATATAGTGGCGCGGTAAAATCGTGTTTTGTAAATTAAATTGGTTATCAAATGTTTTTCAACATAAATTAAGTACGTAATAAAATAAACTTTTTATTCTCATATCGTTTAATAAAATGACTGAATGTAAATTAAATCAATTGAACAGCTAAAAAGATTTAAACTTAACTTCAGTCAACTATATTCATGAAGAAGGCATACAATGATACATCATTTTAGGATACATTTTTTGAGAATACACGTTGTGTAGTGTGGACAGACATACATTTTGTCAGAATGAAACCACTTATTATATGAAAGATTGCTATTTAATTCTCTCCGGGACTGCTGATTCTGCTCAGAGTACACGTTTGTTCCAAACAATCTGGTCCCAACACGCTGTATGATATGGCGAAAGGCCCGAAAACGAATTGGAAGATTTAGAACAATATTCTTTCTGCCAACTCAGTGAAACAGCGAAAGCGCGTAAAAACAAGGAAATATGTACAATAAACTACAATGTATTATACCACGTATTCAGTTCATGTATTTCCACAAGGGACGACAAGTTATTCAATTTCTTATCGCAAAGCTTAAACAAATTAGACCCAAACTAGGACAACTTAATGTATTAAAGCTATACCTATTCTCCTTCCATTCCGGTGGGGAGGCTAGAAGACGGCCCACTTCGGTGGGCGGGGTGTCATACGGTTGGCTCCTGGTACTTCTTTGATAACTGAGTGAACCTTGGAAGAAAACCCTTGGTTGTGTGGTCTGCTTCGGCAGACCTGCCGTCGGCGCGTTGTGGTTGAAAGCGTAAGCGATCCTGCGACGCCCCATTAAGACGGGAGAGATTCTGTTGGGTTTTAGTGGGTAGTACTGGCTCTTCTAGCCAGTGAGTCTCACATAACCACCTGTATGTATACAGGTTGTATGCGTAAATGCATTTCCCAACATTAGAAGAAAGGCTTTTTTATCGTACTAATACATGACGGAAGACGCGAAAATAAACATTTAAACACAAAGTTCGAAATCAATACAATTATCAAAAATATCGAATTCCATTAAATCTAATTCTAATAAAAAGGAGATGCGGTCACTACGTAATAATGATTACTTAGGAAATTGCTTTAGGCATTTGGAAGACCTACGAAGAAGATACAATATTAATTTGATATGTCTCTAACTAATAAGGATTAATTAGCCGTAAGCCACGGAACCGCACCGCTAACAAGTTTTAATAACTTGATTACAGCACTAGTTACTTTTAAACAGAAAAAAAACCTGTGGAAAATAAATAGCATAGAATACCTTTTGTTTTACGCTAAGGTATTCTATGGACTTGTTATATAGACAGTGCAAGTTTTAAGAGAATAAATATAAAGTACATTACGAACTTTCATAATTAAAATATTTAATGTTCAATAAAAAAAGTTAAAAAGGTCGTTATAGTGCCATATAACGTAACCGGTAACTTCATAATGGAAGTTTAAAAAAATTGTAAATATATTTTACCTTGTATTAGTGATAAGATATCTAATCAAACAATTATTGTCTTGAAGTGTATCTTAATATAACTTACATATGTACATAAGTAAAAACGATTTATAAGTACAAGAGATATAGATATTAGTCATATTATCACTCAAGAAGTACATTTATAAAGGAATAGTAAGCCATCCCTAGATAACTTTCGCTTTTGCGTTTTCTCGATTTTGTCCGCGTGATCAAAAAAAAGTATTTGTGCTAGAACCAATACTTTCAGGAAATTTAAAATTTCTGTGGTTGTAAGCCGTCACAAAATAAACCTTGGTATTTCGTGTTTCACTTTTTTGTACCTCCTAAACTATAAAACAAATTGACATACTATAATAAAAAAAGGAAAATATAATAGGGTAAATATTACCTCAATTATTATTTATATAAATACAACCGTTTAGGCAGCGTTCTGAACGCTATTCTAAGTGGTATTTGTTAAATGTTCTTACTTTATTACAAACTAGCAACTCACCCTCGCTTCGCTCTGTTTCGTCCCCTAGATACGTTTTAACAGTTAGTATGGAATAGATAGACTATATATTACATAAAGCCTTCCTCAATAAACGGGCTATCTAATGGAAAAAAAAAATTTCAAATCGGATTAGTAGTTCCTGAGATTAGCGCGTTCAAACAACAAACAAACCAACTATGCCAGAGTTATAATATTAGTAAATATAGAGGAGTTTTTTTTATTATTTTGTATTATTATATTAGATACAAATATAATTGATGACATATGTATAATAGCACTCAGGGATAACGTTTTTGCCTGCCAGTGAAAAAAATCCGGAATCAGAATCATTAGTTTCGGAGGTTACATACAAACTCTGAATTCAGTATTTTAAGAATTTTAATTTTTACTTTAATTTATCACATTTATTCCGTTATGGTATTTATTTAACTATATAGAACTTAGTAAGACAAGGTATAGCAACTGAATAATCTAAGATGTAGAGTGTTTTTAATATGACTCTATTTGCCTTGATGGAGTCCACAAAAAAGAATGTCAATAATAGTACCGCGTTTTCGCCCTATATACTACGATTTGCCGTCTTCATGGCATTTAATTTTGCCATATTTATGTATAAGTCGTTAATTTTTTAATTTTGAAGTAAATATAAAATAGTACTGAATAGTAAAAATAATACTATATTCCTTTATATTTTTAAACATTAATTCTCCTCCCCTTGAAAGAGCTATTTTTATTTATTTTATATATTAAGAACTCAGTATAAAAATTTTCGTTTGTATGTTATTTTAGAACATTCTATGTTATTTTAAATATTATTGTTTGGCTTCGTGTTTAGTCCCATGATTTGTGATGACAGAAAATACAAATAAGTTAAAAATAATAAGATATTCGAGAACAAGATTTCAAAAAAAAGGAGTTGAATCCACAAATGAAATCCATGGATTGCTACGAAGTTTAACGTATGTACCCATCGTTCTATATTGGGTAGTGCAGCGAACTTTAATATCTAACGATATTAGAATTTTACAGAATGATTTGTTGATTCATGGTACACTTTTCCTATCAAACCTTAACATGATGTTCTACTACTACTATCTTTATGTTGATGTTATGTGAAGTATTGTGATGTAAACTTATAAAATCAGAAAAAAAAGTAGAATATCTTTATTGTTTTATTGTGTATAACAATAAAAACATTTATTTAGACGCAACTTTAAAGTTGTTCTAAATAAAAGTTAACTGATAAACAATAAATTTTACATATCCATAATATGTTATATTTCAGTTCACGACTAATATTAAACGAAGCAGAAAAACAATAGACATCAAACTTCTTCTTAACAAACAACTATATCAGGTTTAATAGAAAAAATAAAAATACACCAAATATGTTTAAGAAGTAAGCTAAAGCGCTAGAGACTACAAAGATAGAGAGAGAGGTGCTTGTTTCACAGTATATGAAATTATCTTGCACTTTTTCCGTTCCGCGTTAGAACTAAAAATTTACAATCAAAGTCATTCAATATTTAACTTTTACACATCATAAACAGCGACGGTCGGCCTAATGAGTAATAATAATAATAACTGGACGTATCTAACGAAAAATATTAAATTCACACATACTATATAATCAAACATTTAACATTAAATATAACACCTTTACTAATTAAAATATTTAAAGTAGAAACATAAAGATAGCCTTAAGCCATAGATAGGTAAAGGTAAAGTTCCGGCGACTAATGAACACAATTGCGCATGCGCGTGTAAAGGTTTAATGTGTCACATGGATGAGATCCATTCCGCTAAATAACATGAAACTGCGCATGCGCATATATAAAGGCGACACATACAAAGGCGGGTCAGGTGACATTTTTTTTTATATCCTTTTCGTGGCTATAGGGAGGGTATAACTGCGACACGGCGCATAAGTAGAGGTTTAGATGACTAACCTGTAGCTCGAAGGGCTGGTGGTGCTGCGTAGAGTCGGGCGCGGGCTGCACCACGGAGGCGCCGTTGACGAGGCCGGCGCCGCCCACGCCGCTGCTGGCGCCGCCCACCGCGCCCACGCCCACGCCGCCTACGCCGCCGACGCTGCCCACGCCGCCCCCGTACTAACACAGGCAAGCAAACAAAACAATATTGGGTGACAATTCTCTAAGATTGAACCATCCGGTAAAGAAATGGAAACATATTAAATTATGGTTAAACTATCGCATTCGACTCTTATTGTATTGTACGGCTAGGTTTTATTATTTGATTGTCTACGTTTTTGGGTCGAGGCATCTATCTTTACTGTTTTTTTTGTGAAAATTTCTAATAATGAGAATTATAGAAGGGATGGATGGATGGGTACACCATCTTATTATTTTTAGTTTTCTACTATAAAAAAAAACATTCTGGCTGTTACATACTGCCTTCCTAGACTATACGTAATGTAAACTTATAACCCAGTCATTTGGCAGTTTTACCTGGAAAGTTTTCCGGGAGTTTTGAAAATTAATGATTTTATAGATTTCGATGTGCTCTTTCCGAATTTCAATTTTGCCACCTCGTATCTTTGCCGCTCGCGCAGCCATATTGAAAAATGGCGCCATATGGCAGTTTTTTGACAATATTTGTATTCCGACTAATTTTCCGGTAAAACATTTATATACAAAATTGAACTAGAGAAAATTTGTAATTTATGTAATGACAATTTTTTTTGTAAAATCAACAGTTTTAGCGTACGAGCATCGCAAAGTGTGCTTCAAATGACTGTACTATTTAGTCACTCTAACCAGTCATTAAAAGGAAAACTATAATTTTTGTAATTTGCTGCTATTAATTTCTTGCTTAAAAGTTGCTATTATAGATACTTGTAAAATATAAGAAACATTTTACAAAGTAAGTACAGGCTTAATAATAGCACAATATAAAAATCTATAGTTTAGGCTGTCGCCGCTGAGATTTTAACAGAAATGCTATCCATAAGATATGCAAGCAATGTCAATAAATACCAATATTCATGGCGGACGGTTTCGACGATAAAGCACTGTAGTGCTATCTTGTGGCAAGTACAGTAATACATGTCATACCTAAAGCCCTTTCCTGAGTGTCTTATAAAAGTAAGTATGACAGTCGGTATCGCATCATTCGTCTCACCTCGCACGCCACACACGATTACGCCCTATCTAGAAACCTTCGTTAGACGTCTACAAGGATTAGTAGACTATGATAATAGTTATTGAAGTTATATGTACTTCTTTTGGTACGTTTGAAAAAAAATATGAGAGTAAGATTTTTAAGATGCGCGCGCACACCGACATCCAAAAAGCGACATGATGAAGTTAGCTGAAGTAGTAGAAGTAGTACCATTTCTCTTTAACAAACAGAGACTTGTGACATACGAGTTGAAATCTTTAGCTATTTTTGTCCTGTTACGCTAAAGAAGTATAACTTACGTGCGTACATAAGTACACACACACGTTTTTTTTAATGTCGCCTCACAATTTGTTACATACATGCTTTTGACTGAACGCGTTTTGAAGAATGGGACAATCGCGGAAGGACTGAAGAGCACAAAATTAAATTACTTTTACCTCTCTTTAAATTTTAAAATAATTTATACCAATTTATAAAGAGGTAAAGTTTGTGAGTATGTGAATTTGTGACTTTGTGATGTTGTAGGGGGTAATCTCTGGATCTACTGAACAGATTTGGATGAAATTTGGTAAGAAGATAGTTTGAGACCCTGGGACGAAAATAGGATACTTTTTATGTCGGAAATCATCCTTTAATGGGTGAAAATGGGGATGAAAGTCTGTATTGGGACACAAGATAGGGACGAACCCGAGCGAAGCGAGGGTGAATCGCTAGTTATTACTATTTTGCCAATGCCTTGTTAAACGTCCAATAACTTTTTGAATTTGAACATTGTATAACATGATAGATAATGAGACAATTTAAAATCTATACATATAATAAAATTGTAACAAAGTCAAATCTGTACATTAAATATTTTTTGGAAAATCTTATTTAAATAGACATTATTATCGATACAGAGTCCGAATCTATAGTTTTTACAATTTTTGTCTGTCTGTCTGACCGCATCACGAGAAAACCACTGGACAGATTTTGATGAAATTTGGTATGACAATAGCTGGTTATCCGGGTCAACATATAGGATACTTTTTACCGCGGGGAAATAGCTCATTTCTGAGAAAAAATACAAAAACTGCACTGTAAGAGTATACTAATGTGTATAGCCTAACAATTTGGTTTTTGCTCATCTGAACGCGGTCGGAGCCGCGGTAGAAAGTATCCTATATGTTGACCAGGATAACCAGCTATCACCATACCAAATTTCATCAAAATCCCTCCAGTGGTTTTTCTGTGATGCGGTAACAGACAGACCAAAAATTCTAAAAACTATAGATTCGGCCTCTGTATGGATAATAATGTTTCAATGAGATTTTCCAGAAAATATTTAATGTACAGATTCGGATTAGTAGCAATTTTATTATATGTATGTATTTAATTTACAAAGATAACGTATTTGTATGTATATTTGACGACACATTCGGGTCAGTTTGAAGTGACCCTACTTGCTGTGCCAGCGGTCGTGAGTCGAGTCCCGCTGGGGGCATACATTTGCACGAATGTTTGTACTCCGGTCATGGGTGTTTATATGTGTTTAAAGTATATTTGATGATATATATGTGTAGTGGATCAACAATCTGGTATCCATAACACAAGCCTCGTAGATTTAACCATGGAACTAGATGGCGCTGTGTTAATGGTCCTAACATTTATTAATATAGAGGGAATGCTTTCTGTTGTTTGTTCGTAAGAGACAAGCTATATAAATGCAGAGTCGATTTTGATGAAACTTTTTAACACCACGAATTTTACAAAGACAAGTTTTTTCTCGCTATGAATATAATAAGTATGACAAAAGACAAGTTTAGACGACAATTCTGTTTTATGCGAAAGTGAATTGTAATTGTGCTAAAGTACAAGTCTTCATTTTGATTTTTATAAAAAATTTTGATATAATAAAAGGAAATAATTGACAGTTTGAAAGATACTAGCAGAATCCGCGGCATCGCTCGCACTAAAACTACAAAATTTTTTGTGTGTAAAAGTGTAGTAAGGGAGGTTTCATATGAACTTTTATCCCCTATTTTACACCCTAATGAGATGAATTTCGAAAAATGCTAAATCATGTATTTATTTAATTGTATTGAAGAACATTCATACTAAGTTTTAAGTAATTTTGATCATAAATATTTTTTTGGATTGTATTACATATTATAACGTGTTTTCACGTGGAAATGAGATAACCTCCCGCGGTAAAAACAAAAAGTAGCCTATTTCACTCTTCGGCCCTCCAACTGACTCCACCGAAAAAATCACGCCAATCGTCACTCTGTTTCGACGGAAAGAAGGACAAACAAAAAAACAAACAAACACACTTTCACATTCATAATATTAATATGGATATCATTAGGCTATAAACTACTATAAAATCTAACCTGTTGTGTGCTGGCAAAGCTGCTGTTATCAAATTGCGGATGCTGTTCCATTTGCAAAACGAGTTCGATGTGTTGATTCATTGAGTCGTTGAGTGTCATGCCTGAAATGTATTCAATTAATTTAGTTACTAAAATTTATACAATTACTTTACAGACGATATCGACATAAATATTATAATATTTGTACTAACCAGGGTGGATTTGTGGGTGTTGCGGGTGCGGCAGGCCTTGCAGCGGCGCCACGCCGAGCATTCCAGGGTGATGCTTTAAAAATAATATTAAATATGTCACAAATTTATTATGCAAATAAAACTGAATAATACATATGCAAATAAAACTGAATAATACATAGCACTCATAGTACTTTTAATAATAAATGGTGTTTCTATATGAAATTAGAATTATATTTTTTTGTAATGTCACATAGTTAAAAACTGCATTGACTATTTCAAAAAACATAGAACTTAAAGAAGATTTTGGATATAGATATATCAAAATCCGTTCAGTAGTTTTTGGATACATTCAAAATCTTTTGGGTTTAACCATGCAGTAAGATTCCAGGTCGATGATCACCTGCGGGTGCTGCAAGTGGGGCAGATGGTGCAGCGGCTGCGGCTGCGGTGCGGGCAGCGCGTGCGGCGGCAGCAGCGGGAAGCTGGCCGCGTCGCCGTTGCGCACGCCCACTCCCACGCCTACGCCCACGCCGCCCACGCCCACGTTGTTCACCGTGTTCACGCCGCCCTCCTCCTCTGCGGGCGACGGCTGCCGCGAACCGGGCGTGCGACTATAAAACAACATACACAGCGTAAATTACTATAAATATTTTTTTTATAATATCATTAATCATCTATACAGATAAATAGAATTGAAATGTCTGTTTATAATGTCAAAATAACAGTTTTTTACTAAAAGCATATGGAATTATATACGGTATATTTTTTAAATTTTTGTTTGTCAGTCAGTCTATTTTTTCCGGCTAATCTCCGAAACAGCTGGGCCGATTTTGACGGGACTTTCACTGGCAGGTAGTTGATGTTGTAAGGAATAACTGAGGTTACTTTTATTTCAGTAAAAGAATTAGGGTTCCGCTCAAAAAAATGCATAATAAATTACTATCGACATTCTTGTTACAACCATTGCCTCATAAATCGAAATACCTCAATCAATAAATTAATTAGAATAATACAATGACACTATCTAAGAAAATTTGTTGACACGATGAATCATGCATTCACGGGTGAGTGATAAAAGATTAAGCCGCGAGCGTGAGGAGCGGGGGGCAGGGAGTGGTGGGGGGCGCGTGGCATTGACGGAGGCCGCGAGCCGCGCGGTTATTGCCCGCCGGCGCTCCAGTTTCACCTTCGGACAACTATTGGTGGGCGCTCGCAAAACGCTGGCGGCCGACGCTCGGACACCCATTTAAACTAGTTATCACGGGAGACATAAAATCCGCGTTCATTATTGTTCTCGAGTGCCCCATTCGCTTACTCATTAGCAAGTAATTAGTTTTTTGACGAAAATCTGACTAATCGCATTGTTGTTTTGTTTAGTTTTCCATCACTTTCTTAAAATCTTAAGTAAACATCACGATACAAATACTGAAGAGTTATATAAACAATTAAATAAAACAAAGTGTCTAATCTAAATTTGGCAATTCAATAAAATATAAGCTTAAAGCTTAGATTAGTAGTAAATTAGTTAAAAAAAATATTTAACTCACTTAATCATACATTAAGAAACCGGAAAATAAAAAAGTTACTTATACCTATACCTATCTATACTACCTTATACCTATCTATACTAATACTAGCGACTCACCCTCGCTCCGCTCGGGTTCGTCCCTAACGTGGGCCACCCTTATCACTTAGGGGTATGGAAAATAGATAGTAGCCGATTCTCAGACCTACTGAATACGCATATAAAATTTCGTAAAAATCGGTAAAGCCGTTTCGGAGGAGTACGGTAACTAACATTGTGACATGGAAATTTTATCTATACTAATATTATAAAGAGGTAAAGTTTGTGAGTTTGTGAAGTTGTAGGGGGTAATCTCTGGATCTACTGAACCGATTTAGATGAAATTTGGTAAGAAGATATTTTGAGGTCCTGGAAAGGACATGGGATACTTTTTATCCCGTAAACCAACCCTAAAGGGGGTGAAAATGGTGATGAAAGTTTATATGGGGAATCAAGCCAGGAACGAACCCGAGCGAAGCGAGGATGAGTCGCTAGTATATAATATAGGCATACACGATCATAAGTAATGATCGTGTATGCCTATATTATAGCACCAGTCATCTATATATTGTGTATACAGATGATACCATTCAGTATAATAAAACAATTAACAACAAATGTATATAAACCAAATACTAACTTGAAAGCTTTATCGTCCTCCTGTCCATTATGCAGGCCGTTGGGCATGGGCGCGTGGTCGTGCATCTCGTGGAGGTCCTTGTCGAAGGGCGAGCCGGCCTTGTCGTCGGCGCGCTCGTCCAGCACCATGTTGCGCAGGCCCGCCACCACGCCAGTCACCTTCTCGCCCCCACTCGTCACACCGCCGGCTTCTGCGCCGATATCATAATAGTCTATTAAGACTATAATATTAATCATATTCTGTATCTATACTAATATTATTTGATTGTGAGTTTGTGACGTCTTAGGGGGTATTCTCTGGATCTACTGAACCGATTTAGATGAAATTTGGTAAGAAGATAGTCTGACACCCTGGGAAGGACATAGGATACTTTTTATCCCGAAAATCATTCTTTAGGGGGTGAAAATGGGGATGAAAGTTTGTATTGGAAAGCAAACTGGGGACGAACCCGAGCTAAGCGAGGGTGAGCCGCTGCTAGTCTTCAATAATATTGTGAACAAATAAATGTTTAAGTTTGTATGTAGGGGGTGACCTCTGAAACTACTGCTCCGATCCTTTTACTGATAGAAAGCTACATTACCGCCGAATGCTATGTCTATACCAAAAATAGCCTCATTATTATTCTGATAAAAATGTGTGTTTACTGTCAGAAATCATAATAACTTCAATTGAAGTCGGAATGAAACGAGAGTCGAGTTACTATATCAACTAGTATTAGGCACTAGGGAACGCACCCGAGTACATCGAGAGTACATCGCTAGTTGAAGTCAATGTGTTACTCCGTTTTCACGTGAAGAAGTTAAAATGAAAAAAAACCGACAGTTTGTATTATTCATAACATTATTGTATGCAAGAAAACAACGAGTTAGGGGGTTTTTTTTCTTAAATAATTAATTTTTGAGTGATATTTTTAGCAATACTTTCTTAGATTTATGCGAATATTTGAAATTTTTAATAAAACCTTCTTTTCGGTTTTTTTGATGAAACGTCAGGAACCAAAAATTAAAATAAATCTGCGAAAAGATCCGAAAAGATAGTTTTATTTAAAATGACATTAATAGTTTTCATGGATATATAAGAATATAGAAATAATGCGCGTGAAATGTATTTTAACATAATATAGAAGGCAGTGAAACTTATATCATTCAAAGGCTACTGTTAAAAATTTTCATAAAAATGTTCCCTAACAAGTAAATGAAATAATGTCAACAAGCATATTTACTCATTTAAAATAAAAATAAAATAAAGTATGATTTTTTTATTGTTGCTTATTAAAATAAGACATCTAACAAAACTGCTAACATATCCTAAGTTAATTTTTTTCCAACATAATATCACAGATACATTTCCCTCTTCTAGTTCTAGTCCATGTTCTAGTTATGGCATAATAAAGCAAGTTTGATTAAATATCATTTATTACGTTTGAGCTTTTAAGTATTATATGGTGAAAATATTGAAAAATCAGTCTACTAAATGTAAATTTCAAAACAAAATTCATAACCTCTTCCCCTAGCTAACCAACCTCAATCTATACTAATATTATAAAGAGGAAAGACTTTTTTGTTTGTTTGATTGTTTTTACCGAACAAGCACTCGAACAACTACAGGACTGATTTAGATGAAATTTGGTAAGAAGATTGTTTGAGACCCTGGCATAGATAGGATAGTTTTTTCCCAGAAATCATCTCTTAAGGGGTTGAATATGGGGATGAACGTTTGTATGGGGAATCAACCACATATTATAATCTATACTAATATTATAAAGAGGTAAAGTTTGTGATCTTGTGAGTTTGTGAGTTTGTGACGTTGTAGGGGGTAATCTGTGGATCTACTGAACCGATTTTCAAAATTCTTTTACCAATAGAAAGCCACGTTCTTTCTGAGTGTCATAGGCTATATATTAACCCGAAGAATGAAGAGGCTTTTTCGTGGTAGTCGGATTTGCAAAGTAAGTCGGAGAAAAAACGGTCGAACGAAAACGTTTCTTACGAATGCTGCCTTAACGATGAGAGATATATGATTATGTTCTAGAGAAAAGTTGTAGAGCTTAATAATGCCTACAAAAAAGTCAGCGACAACATATGTCTAACTTTTATATTTACGTCACAAAAAGTAGTTTTTTATATTAAAAAAATAATTTAAATCGGTAGGTCATGTTTATTGGTCATATTATCAACAATTATGAATTCTTATCAAAATAAGTAAATTTATCGTATAAAATATTTAAAACAAAAGACTTTTCCCTTTTACTGCAAATAATTTGGTCAAATGGTTAAAGAGATAATACAACATATTGGTATGGACGAACCCGAGCGAGCTGTTTGTCTGTTTTTCTGTTTGTACGGGCTAATCCCCGAATCTATTGGACCGACTTAAATGAAATTTTGTATGGTGGTACCTTATATCCCCTGGCAACATCTTAGATACTTTTCATCCCGGAAAATTAAAGAGTTCCCGTGGGATAGTTAAAAAACTATAACAACTTATACAGCTTAGTACACAAAAACTACTGATTGGATTTTAATGAAACTTTACAATAATATATTTCATACATGACAAAAACAAATCAGCTACTTTTCTAATAATATATTTCATACATGACAAAAACAAATTAAAGAGTTTCCGTGGGATAGCCAAAAAACTATAGTAACTTATACAGCTTAGTACACAACAACTTACGCACCTAATTTCGTAAAATTTGGCATGCTGATACCTTATATTACCGGTCAAGCAACAGGTTACTTTTCATCCCGGAAAAATGAACGATTCCCGTGGGATATATCTGTTTGTGCTTTTCTACAGGTGAACCCGAGCGAAGCGAGGGTGAGCCACTAGTATTAGATATTTTAAAACACAACAATACATGTATGGTGTACATACTAAGTAATATCAAGATCCTAACATGGATCACAATGAAGATTGCAATAGCAAACTCATTTATGCAGACAAGCCTAGTATTTTTTATACATATTTGCCAATTTAAAAAAATAATAAAAGACTATAATTTATAATCAACTCCATTATTACTTAAAAATAATATTTTTTTAAACTCATATTCCTGCAAACTCTAAATTACAACCTCCATATTTATATGTTATGAAACCCTTCAATAAAAACTACATAAATTAAAACTAAAATATAAATCACTAAGTACCTGTGGGTGATCCACCGAGCACATATTCCACCATCTTGACACCGAGGCCGGCGGTGTCGCGCGGGGACAGGATGCTGCCCGCGTCGCCGCCGGGGAACGCGACCCCGCGACGAGTGCCCATCATCGGCACTCCCACATTGTGTTCCACTGCTAATATCAAAACTATGTGTAACTCAGTGTGCCAAAAAAGACTTATTATAGCTTAAGCAATATTAAATTGTCATTAGACTTGGTTGATATTGAAAATAGCAGCTAAAAAATGAATTCATTATAAATACATGAATATACAAATTTAAATAAATATCTATGTAAAATTAGAAGTATAATTAAGTAATAAAGTAATAGGAGAAATATAAATACTAACATGTGATAGCAATTTATTTTTACATTTACATACTTCAAAAAAAATATTTAATTTATATAAGAAAAGTTATAATTGTGAAATAATTTTAAATTGATTTTTTGCTATGATTAGTATCATAGCAAAAAATTACACAAGTATGTACATCTATCACATTACAAAGTTCACCAGGATCTATTGGACAAACCTTGAGCGGACCAAGTGGGATCTCGCCACATCTGTTCAGGATTAAGTTGCAAAGGAGGAAGATGTGGTGGGCCTTTGCTATCTCCTCCAGCACCGGGGCCCTTATCCCATAATTTTTTTGCAGCGGGTGCAATCTAAAACAAAATATATATAGAATAAAACAAAGATCAGCATAAAGAGCTGAGAACCATTATGTAAGTTCAGGACATTTATTTATTAAGGCAAAAAAGATGACCTTATTTCTATTTAAATAGTCTTCTATAATTACTATCCATCCATAAATAAATATTATTGTCTTAATTGATAACCAAAAAAGAGTATCAGGTACTTTATGGTTTGATATTTAAGTGTTTCGATCCAGTATCAAAGTTCAATTTTGTAAGTTGCACAAAATTAGTAGTATCTTGACTGATATTATACACATAATATAATAATTAATATATAAAAAAAAAACATTTATTTTGATCATAAAAGTAAACATGCCAAAATAAAGATTACAATTAATTTCATTAGTAATATATAATACATACTTTTAGGTTATAGCATTAGAGACTAAATATAAGATATAAGCATAATATAACATCGTAGCTTTAATGCTAATGCATGGACTCATATGATTTAAATTTTAAATCCAAACATATAATGTCTTCTATTATTAAAATTTCTTTATACAAAAACAGATAGCGTTTGTTAGTTCTCATTGTAAGCTTATAAAACTTAATAAAGTGTAATTGGACAAAACCCATAACTTTTCCCAAATATGAACAAGCTACTATTAGAAATGTGCAATATATTAACTCAGTCTCTGCAACATCATTTTAATTCAAAATAGGTACCCTAAAGTATTACTATCAACATTAAAATTTGAAAATAAAACAACGTCATAGTAATTTGGTAATTTCAATGAGAGTTTCTACACAAATCTACATATAGCACATTTATATGATCTACCTTACTTCCATAACAAATAAGGTAATAAAAAATATAAATATGAACATAGAAGAGGAAAAAGGAAACTGATATTCGTCAGGCTTAATTTATACTGTTGTTCAAAAATAAACTAATTGATTAATAAAGTAAACTTCTTTTCACACATAATAACATGACCTAAGCTGCATGCACAAGCTGCGTTTAAACTTGCATGCTATTATTCTATTTTAAACAATGTAGTTTTTATAACAAACAATAATATTAGATTGGCAATGCCAACTGCCTTAAATGTGTTAAAGTTAAATTGTGTTAAGAATTAATTAAATTAAACGTTTATCATAAACTTTAGTCGCATAACTTTGTACAGAAGTGCAGTCTTATAAATATTGTGAAGTATTAGTAAAATAAGTAATAATGTAGACTAATTATAAAGCATATTAGAGAATTCATTATTTTAAAATAATAGTTTCAGTTCTTGGTATCTTTAGTTTATTTTCCTTGAAGCTAGAAAGAGCTTTTTAACCTAACCTTTAATAATGTTAATCAAATTATAACCAAGTACAAAACAGATCTTATTATATATAAAATTATCTCACTCAATATTGACTCAATATTGGCATCTTCCTTGACCTAAGTTGATGGGATCAAGTCCTTTGATAATATATTCAAAGAATTTCGGTGGGAACATAAGTGGTAACCGTTACCAAGGCATTTACAGTTCACTACATTGTAATACGATATAATGATGACATAGTATTTTCAATATTGCTGTATTGTGTTTGTGTTAGCCCATACACCGGTGAATAAAAATAATTAGGTACTAGAAATGGCGGACGCCGGTGACAAGTAAACAAAACAAAAACGGACCTGTTGCATAGAAAAAACAAGAATTTCGTAACTTCATGACATAAAACAACGTCTTTGGACAATAAACTATAGTTTTAAACCCAAAAACTTACCATGTCGGGGCCCATATCCTTAACATTAGGTTCGAAAAAAAAGTCACTCAAAGGTTTCATGCGTACAAACCACCTAAAGCTCGGTCATGTACCACAATGAAAGCTTGTCGCACTAATAAGCACACTAAACATTAATATTTCGTTTCTCTATGATATTTACACTAAATGCAACATAAAACAAGACATTTCTTACACTAAAACATTCACATACAGCAAAATAAAACTGGAAGATCTAAACTCAAAAGTACAATGTTGACTTGTTTCGAACAAAGGACATACGCCGACCACAGCGCCTGCGTTAACTTCCCGAGTACGGGAGCGTCGGACGAAGTGAGGCTTCATGGAATGTTTAACAGATGGCGCAAAACGCAAAGCTACATAATATTTAAATCAGCGTTTTTGTGATTGAGTGTCTATTTTTTTCATGTTAGAGCCAAAGTGTTGAAGTAAAAATAGTTTATACTAAATGATTTTATAATTTATACTGGAAATTTAAATAAAAATTAAATATATAAAAAATGCACAAAAAATTTAAACTTAGTTATTTTGTACATTTTAATAAAAAGATATTTTATTATGAATTAATACTTTATTATTTCAACATTATTGTATTTTTATAAAAATAAAGTACATAAAATTATTGATGTGAATTTTGTGGGCTTTATTTTTTTTAACAAGTTTAAAAAGGATAATGTTCTCATGAATGTTCCATCCATGTATAGGTATGGTTTTTTGGTACATATTTTTATCAATTTAAAAAATTCTTAGTTTTATTTTAATTATTAAAATATAACTGAATGAGTTGTACCTTCCCTCAATTTAATACAAAAGTACCCCTATGGATGGAATGGAATTTGTGAGGTGATTCTGAAGTAGGTGTAACTTTTTATACTATAAAATCAGCGTCACAGCGGCTCGGTCCGCGTAATTTAACTATTTTTTTGCTAAATCTTTATAAACATTTATAGACTATGTGTTACTCTGGTCTATAAGCTATGTTACTGTAGTTCCATCAAAATCTGTTAAGTAGTCTTTGCATTAAATAGTAACAAATATCCATCCATCCTCACAAACATTCACGTTTATAATATTATTCGCTACTATTTTATTAGATGTATAGATTTTTTGAGCTTTATAACAAACTCACTCTCATTCACTCAAAATGATATTGTTAAAAATCCCAAATCTTACATATAGAGTTGACTTACTGTATTTCAATCTTACATATTAGAGTATGTAAGATTTATTTGAGCCTGACCGTAGGTATATAAAATATAAAGTGAACCAGTTGTATGTAGAATTTTTTTTAATTTGTCTAATAAAAAAATACCATATAACAGAAGTTAAATTAGAATCTAGAATATTTATATTTAATTTTTAGTCAATGATTACCAGATGGACAGAATTCAGAAGGGCTCTTAATTGCACAAGCTTCATTATAATTGAGAGTGAATTTAAGGAAGCTGCTAGAGCTCCTTATTCTATATTATACTCCCTTTTAAGGCGAGGATGAAAAATATTTTTTGTGAATTATTTAAGTCAAAACATGTGCATAGCTGTTTGTTAGCTGCAGCCAGTCTTATAATTAAACTGTTAACTTTTATTAATTTAATGTATATATTAGTGATTATCATAAATTAATCTTTTCCCAGCAAATCACAGTGCATAATATTTAACAGTAGTAGACTGAGGTGCAAAATCGACTGGACTTCAATACCTCAAGTCCAGTTTTTTGGTGTTCCAATCCCTTATTGTGATAGAGTGCAAAACTTGGGCCTAATAATGGATTGTAACATGACCTTGGTAGCTCATGACAATGAGATAAGTAAACGAATGCATCACTCTTTCCACTCTCTCAAGCATCTCCAATTCTTTCTCCCTTTTAGTACCAAGATTATGCTTGCTCAAACCCTTCTTCTCCCCATACTTGACTACGCTGATGTGTGCTATTTGGATGTGACTGAGAAGCAACTTAACGAACTAGAGCGTCTCCAGAATCTAGCTATTCGCTTTAGTTTTGGCTTGCGCAAGCATGACCATGTATCAAACTTTCGTGCTCAACTTAAATGGCTCCCAATCCGACTTCGCCGTGATATGCACATCCTTTCCTTCCTCTTCAATATTCTTAACGACCCAAATTCTCCTCCCTACCTTCGTTCCCGTATCGAACTTCTCCCTATCCCCTCACGTTCCAGGCGGTCTTGCGTCATGTCAATGCTCGACATACCAAAGAGTAGGACACATTTTTTTCGCACTTTTTGTCAGTATATGCCTCATTACTCTGGAACAAACTCCCTAAATACATCCAAAAAAGCCCCTCTATAACTTTAAAAAAAAAATTAAAACAGTACCTTCTGTCACAAATTGGTCCTTAATTTTATTATCTGATCCACTATTTAATGTATTCCAAATGCATACGATTACATTTATACTTTAATATGCATGTATATATGTATGTATATGTGTATATAGTATGTATAATATGCAAGTTATTATATATTTATCATTATATGTGTCTTTTTTATCTTATTTAATTGTATAATTATTTATAATTTTATTTTATATCTATTGCACTCTTTTAATCCCGTCATATAACACTATTTCTCACTTCCATAGGTTGGCTGGAAGAAATCTCTTCTAGAGATAAGTCCACCTTTGCTCACATTGGTCTCTGTATTATCTGTGTTACTCTATTAATATGCAATAAAGAATATATATATATATATATATATATATATATATATATATATATATATATATATATTTGTATTTTTTAAAAAGTATCAATGTTTTTCTCCTTCAAAAAATTAAGACACTAATCTATCCCTCTTATGACTGGGTATTTACATAGCAACTATTGAAATCTAATTCAGAATTAGATTTATGTTCTTAAAAAACTTTGTACACTTTTTAGTACATCAATGATATTTTTTTTTCTGTTTCGTCAGAGTTTTGTTAGTGTCCAAACAAGGCAAAAAGAAAAAAAGGGCAAAGGCCTCTTCTCTTCTCCTTCCACCTTGCTCTATTTCTGGAATGGATTGATTGCCAGTCTTTTTTAAAGGCATTCAGGTTGTCCCTTCATCTAAAGTCTTTTCACCTAAAGACCTTCTAGGTCTACCACGGTGTGTTTTCACGTTTTGTGGTGTCCAAAACGTAATGGACTTAGGCCACATTTCGTCAGAAATGCGGCAGATGTGTCCAGTCTAGTCACATTTCAGTTTGCGAGTCAGCTTTGCGAGTGACAT